GCTGAACATTTGCACCCCAGCGCTACATGAACGATCATATTAATATTTAACATTAAATGATTAACAGGGCTTCTCAAGATCCATCTTTTTGTTCTGCGGGCACTAAGGAGTATGAGTTACAGTCTGGTTCCTTATTTTCATTCCTTCTCTGTAGCTCTAAAGACCGCAGAGGTGAAAGACTCATCTCCAGCCTTTTTTTCCTTATGGTTAAAGGCCAATGTACCAGAGGCCAGAGCAGGTAGATGAGGGAGGAAAGAAGTGAAAGTGCCAAAGTTCGTCTCTTATTGTACCCTCAGGTTTCTTATGATGTAAAACTGGGTTGCTCTAATCCTCTCTGTCACAGGGGGATGCTGTCTTGTTTGTTAGCAAGGAAGCAAAGCTTTGTACTGAAGTGATTCTTCTTGTTACAAAGATCAGGGAGCAGGAGCAAGAAGGGGAGAAGTGTTTGGTCATTTTTCAGTTTCTTGCACCATCTGATAAACTGGAGATACAGAAACAGTAAGGGGCAGGAATTCTACCACACAGAGAAACACAGAAGGCTTGAAATAGTACCCCTAATAGAGAGCTCGTGTCTGCTCCTGCGTCCATCTTGACAAGTTGTCCACATTAGATGCATAAGAAGAATTAAATGCCTCCTAATGTACATAATTGTGCAACCAGATCTTGAAAGAGGATATTTTTGTCTGGCTACAGCTGAGGATTAAGAGACCTTGAACCCTACCTGTCACTCATTCCTTAAACATCCACTTCCTTTGGTTTTCTAAGCTACTGGCCTCAGTTACATCCTACAGGAAAGCGCTTAATTACCAGGTCAAACAAAGCATTTTGTTTTAAGCCGTTCTGCCCTGGTGATCTAACACTGCTGAGCCTCCCTTTTGCCTGCTCTCAAGAAAGCACCATTAGCTTGCAGCTGACTCCTCACTTGCCCATCTGTTTTGAAGTCTTCCTCTCCCCAACACACTTCCCCTCCTTTCCATCTAAAAAGGCTGAAGTCTGTCCAGCTATTGAATGTACTCTGTATGAAGCACTAGTTATTCTCAAGACTAGTTATTCCCAAGAGCTTTCCAGTTCTTCTAAATAACTAGCCAACCAACTTCATGGTGAGGATGCATCCTAGTTTTATCTCATTGGCTTTTATTTTTTTTTTAATGGATTTCATCCACATTAATAAAACCTGACATTCAGTCTCCCTTGCTGACTGCTGCTTGTATTTATCATATGATTCACAGTGGCACCTGAACTTTCAGTCTGCTGCATAGCAAACATTATGCAAAGGCAGTTTGTGGCTTTCAAGTGACCCATGTTATTTACAGGTAACAGTGGTATCTTTACAGCTAACATCATTGTTAGCATCCAGACACTAAATATGTTAATTTACAGCCACACAGAATTGACCAGAGGACACATTCAAATGGGTGCTTGGCTTGCTACAGCTGTCTGAGTTCAAATTGTTGCGTGCAGTTGGAGTCCAAGGGAGGGGACAGGTGTTGCACTGCACTGTGGAAACTGGTATCCTCTTCTGGATTAACCTTACCTTGGATCAGCAGCAAATTCTGCCGCCTCCCTATGCATTGTCCTCTTGGTGGTACAGCATAGCAGAAAAGTACAGACAAAGAGAGCCTGCAAGGACAGACTGCAGTGGTATGGATATAGCGCCCTGCAAGTTACATCACAGTTAAGGATGTACAATTAGGAACCTGTAAGGCCTGAGTTAAATCGCTTGTGGGTGGTGCTTCAAGGATTAACACTGCTTTAACTCGATAGAAGAGCTGATTTGTTCGGGGTTAAGAACCCATTTGCTGCCACCAAAATAGCACTGCTTATATGAAGGTGTGGCACAGCAATACGGCAGCAAGAAACCTGGTAGAACTAAGCTCCATTATGTTTCTAATGAGTTCACAGAGAAGAATAAGCCCAGTTCTAATAAAATTAAAGATGTAGTATTTCAGAAAGTGTAGCTCCTTGTCAGTGCTGTGATAAAACATGACTCAGTTTCTCTCAAGGATACTCCCATTCCCAAGCTCAGTTTTTGCGTTGGCTAGATCTGTGCATCCAGATGACTGCAAAGCCATACTGTTCTGACTCCTGGCAACCCCAGTGTTTCTAGGCCCTAGGCCTCAAGGAGAGCTCTGACAACACTCCAGAAGCCATACTGTTCTGACTCCTGGCAACCCCACTGTTTCTAGGCCCTAGGCCTCAAGGAGAGGTCTGACAACACTCCATGTTTCTGACAAGCATCACGCTGCTTAACCAGTAGTTCAACACTCCCCTGAAAAGAAGTGTAGGAAGAGTCAAGGCTGTAAGCAGGCAGAAAGGCTGGGCCCAGCCCTTAGGGGAAGGCTAGCATAAGAGGGGCTGTTAAGTACTGCAGCTATCCAAGAGCCAGAACACAAGCACAGCTGTGGGCCTGGGCTGGGGAATCACTTCCAGGAGGCTGACAGGAAAGCAGCTGCAATCTCCTCAAGCAGGGCTTCACACCAACAGGTGTCTGTAATTCTAGCACTACACTAAAGCAAGGAATGAGCAAGACCCTTGTGGAAAGGAAAAACGCTTGTAAAACCTGTTTGCATCATTAAATCCTTCTTTAACTATTTACTCTTAAAACCTGTACCTCAGTGACTGAAGTGCCTTCTGCAAGCTTTCACAGTAGCAGCTGCTAGAAATTAATAGAGGGAAGACTGATGAAGAGATGACTCAAAGTCCAGGCTTCTCACCAGCCCCTGCCTGCCCCTGCCTCCACTACTGGGGTAGCTGAGGTCTCTGTGCCTGTTTTCATATGGCAATGGCATGGGCATATCCTGACCCTCTCAACCACAAAAGGACTTACAGCAACAGCTCACCAGCATCACAGTGGGTAAAGGGGACCATCATCCCACTGTCTACCCCCTCAGAGACAATGAAATGCTTTGAAATAGGCAGGACTAAACACACAGGATATGTTTTCTCCAGATGAGAGGCCCTTGTATGATCAACAAATCAGGCTGAGCAAATTCAGCCCTGTCTCTCACAAGAGCAATGCTAAACAAAGTGTTCATAATGACAAAACCAGGAGTTCTTGCACAAGATGTGGGGGCCATCCCATTCCAGCATCACTTCTCCCTCAGCCCTGCAGGCCTTGCATGGGTTGAAGACTTCTGTGCAGACAGGGAAGAAGTACTGTTGACAAGATGCTTCATTTACTTGCTGTCAGTGCCAAAAAAAGGATAGCAAGTCTGCTGACCTCACTTCATATTCTTTCTGCAGCAAACTCCCACCAATGTACAATCTTTTTATTTTTTAAAAATACTTGTTTCAGTGAATTAAGATGGACACCTCTCCCAGAAACAGGCAGGTGAATCCTCTGGGACCCATGGGATCCAGCTCTGGGACTGGCCCATTAGGAAGTACCTGGGAAGACCAGAACTCTGTTCCACTCCCGCTCCCCTGTCCCCTGTGTCAGAATCACTGCAGGCGGATCCAGTTCCCAGCTGTGGCCAGCAAGTCTGTGGAGCCAGGCACACAAGGCACAGCTCTGTTCACACCCGGATCTGGTACCCATTGAGGTCTGGCATGGCTTTGGAATCAGCAGGCTTCTTCTCACCAGATGGCCTGTGAGAAAAGAGGGTAAGAACTATTCAGAAACTGTTTTTCAGTCAGGAGGAGCTGCACATAGAGATGACAGCACAGGAAAAGGTACAGGAAAGCTTCAGACTTATCCTACGCTATCGAGGAAAGGATTATTCTGCAACCTCCAGTAACTCTCCCAGCGATCTCCGCAGAAGAGAATGCACATTAGGAAGAGTAGGAAGTCCACTCTGCTACCCCAGATTGGTTTCAGGAAAACGATCTGCTGACAGCAGTGTAATTTTTGGAATCTCTTTGGGGCACAGGTCTGAGACACCAGACCCCTGCATAAGGTTAAATATCAGCTACCAAGATGACTGTCTATTTGAGCTGCTTTCCTCCTCCCTGCCAAAACAAAAAAAAACCCAGCTGTCCCCCCCACTCCCCAAACAATAATAAACTCACAAAGGCACAGACTAGGGAATAATGCTGCTGCAGTTCAGAGAAGTGTCCCCTGTTATAAAGAGCCATCAGAAGGATCCAAAAACCAGGCAGCCAGGTGGAGTCTGTCAGTAAAACAGAGATGCTCTAGACAGGTCTCCTGCCCAGCAGCCCCACTCACCGTCGGTCCCCGCGGCTGTTGCGCCGATGGGGGCTGGCCTGACCTCTTTGTGGGGAGGAAACATCTTTCTTTCTGTCCTTGGTGGGAGACGGTGGCCCAGTTCCTTTGCCAATCTGCCAGAAAAATTAAAAGGAAGAGCAACATGAGTAGAAAAGCAATACTAGTAGTAATCAGAAAATGAAAAGTCTAACAACAATTAAGACAACAAAGCAAGGCAATTGTATGGAAAATACAAAAGCCAGAAAAAACAAGTTACAGTGACAGCTATGGCTCCAAGGCGTGTATGCAGCCCAAGCTAGTTACAACTGCAGTACTGTGAGAGTGTCCATTAAGGGACCAGCCTGTGTGCAAAGGAAAAGCCAGCCTCCAATCCTGCTGTACTCCACCATCTAGGAGAGCCTCCTGCCGCTTCATTCCCCCAGCACACCGTCAGCCAGGCAAGCAGTGAACTACTCCATCCTTGCCACTCACCTTCAGCCTCATATCACGGGCATGTCTCTCAAGCTCTTTGCGGAAATCTTCCCGGGTTAGCTTGTCTAGATCCAGGATGGAGTGCTTCCACTCGATCTGCTCCACGCTGTGTGGGTCATGGGACACACAGTGGCCCAGCTTCACCTTTTTCAGAGTGTGCCAGCAGCGGCGATAGGCCTCCTCGAAGTCAAAGATGAGTTCGCTCAGTGTGCGGAAGACGGGTGCTTTGTACATGAGCTCCTCACGGCGGCTGATGCCCAGTGCCCCATAGCGGCCTCCAAAGTTCACCCCCAGCACTATGTGTCGGAAGTAGTTCCCTGAGAAGTGGGTTTTGAAGCTGATGGGGAAACGGTCCAGCGTGGTCATGTTGTTGGTGAGGTAACTGACAGCAGCCACTATTCAGGAAACAACCAGTGATACGTTTTCCTGGCAAGACACTTCCTTCTTGCCCTAAACCCTCCCAGTCTGCTCAGCACTCACCACTGGTTCAGGCATCACATAAGCAGGATTTGTTCTCCAGATCAAGAGTCTAGCTCATTGCAAGCTGCCCTACTTTCATCTGGGTCATGGAGAAATGAGACTTGGCCTCTTCAACAAGACAGTCAACAAAAAGGGAAGTTATTTTTGAGGCAGTTTTGTGATGCAGAAGTTGCAATGCTAACATCTCAAGTGTACTGTATTCCATAGCTCCCAAACTGTAACACAGTAGCATTATTCCTCAGTTTGTTTTAATCTGTTTTCCTAGCTACTATTTCACATGCAAACTGGGGAACCTTGAGGACAAAATAGTCATTGGACTGCCCTTCTGAACCATTCACTTGCCATCTCTGCCCCTCCAGGTGGCTTTGCCAATGCACATCAAGAATCTATAGCCCAAGTGACATAGACTAAGCCTGGAATGTAGCCAGGGAAGATGTGTACTGAAAGACAACATGTGTCTAGAATTATTAAGTATTGCTTAAGCTGGCAGCAGTGCTAGACATAACAGTAAAGTGACATACACCATAATTAGAAGTTGGGGAGGATCCCTGATTTATTTTAATGTAGCGGAGTAAGGTAACAAAGTTATCCACAAAGGATGTCCTGACCTAACTCTAGCTAATATGTTTGTTTGCCTTTCTTTAGATGTTCCTTAGATCCTTCCTTTATCTTTTACTCACTTGTAGAGTTGTCCAGAGCAGCACAACTCTTCTTGGGGAAGGAGGAGCAACTCCAGAGAACTAGTTCTGATATTTCACAGAATTGCTTGGATTTGGATTTTACTGGTGGGGTTTTTTGGGAGAACTAGGGAAGGAAAACAGCAACGTGGAGCTTGGTGACAGTATTACCAGCAGCCTCAAAGCATCATAAGAGAGCAGAGGAGAGAACACAAGGATAGGCAGACATGCACAATTCCAAGAGGAAAGGATACATTCCCAGGATCACAGCTTCCAGGCATTTTATCGGCAGGGCCTCTTTGGTCATTTCTTTGGCCAGGTCCATCAGCCTGCAGAGCGGGACAAGGGAAAGACGAGGTCAGTCAGAGGGCTTGTGCTATGCAACTACAGCCAGTTCAGCCCTTTTGCACTATGTAAGTAAGGTAGGTTTCCAGGAGAGGAGGTGGCCCACTGAGGACAGGAAACAGAAGAAAATATCTTCTTTAGGAAGATATTAAATCCAAATCAAGTCACTACCATATGCTGTTGCTGCTTACAAGAAACTCCCTTCAGTGATGGCTACTAGGCCATCTCGGGGAGACCACAGCACTTGGATCTGTGAGCTCTGGATGGATGCTGATGTGACCACAAACAGAAGCCTCAAAGGACCAAGAGCCAGCAACGTTTCCCTCACTAGGCTCAAGGAGAGTGAAACCCTCTTCTCTGGCATTAACCCTGCTCTCCATTCAATAAATACTGTGGAGGAGACATTGCACTGATTACAACACATTTGGGGTGACATAAATAAGTCTACGGACTAGACCAGTATAATAGTAAGAAGCCAGTCTTGGGAGACTCTTAATGTGGTGGCCAAGAGAGTCAATGAACATCAGGTGCTTATCTCCAGGAACTTATGGGGCACAGCTCTTCCCAAAATCTGCAGTAAAAATCCCCCTTTTTCAAAGTGTGAGATGATAACAGCTTAGTGAGCCTAGACTCTGCAAAGGCACTCACAGGAGCTATGAAGTTAGACCTGTAAAGACATTTGGCTTTTTGAAGCTTGATTAAGGCAGGACTTAGTTTCAGAATCCATCAGAAGTTCATATAGTTATATTTCAATTAGAAACAGGCAACATCTGCACATCTTTGAAATACATTTAAGTTATTTTACTGGATTTACCGATTCATGACAACAAAACCCACTCTTGTCCTTGAGAAAGGCCAGACACAGGTCTGCCCAGCCGTGCCCCAGGCAACAGACAATGAAGTCACCTAAAGTAGGATGGAGCTGCAGTACTGAAAGCCCTGAGTGGCACCCAGACCTTGGCCAGGGGATGGAAGGAAAAAGCAGTGAGTATGGCAAGGTCCTAACATCTTGAAACAAGGATTAAATGCTGCAGGTCTTGCCAGCACTTACCCAGTCAGAGGTCTGCTCTTTTTAATCTCAAAGAATTGTGTCCCAGTGTGATTGTACCTGGAGGAAAGAAGTTAAGGACTTGGCAGCTTGGAAAGTAGAGTTTGAAGAAAATCTGTCTAAAGTACTTCTGTGTTACGTACTGTTCTCACAATAGAATATTTCACAGCAAAGTCACGATCCCAGAAATATAAGAGTAATGCAAGAAAGTCCCCACCTCCCTCTCCTGCATTTCTCCTATTTATAGTCCCTTCTTACTTCCACTGTATTTCCTTCTTGTCAGTTCTTCTCTTTCTCCTCCCCACACACAGGTTTCCACTCCATTTCCCAAAGGTCCATGCTGATGGCACTTACTCTGCTCAGCTACCAGGGCAGAACAAAGTTTGATAGATCTCTGCCTGCTCCGATCTGCACAGACACACAGAGCATTGAAACACTCATGGTACCTTATATTAAGACTGAGTGGGACCAAATCCAAAGCACAACCACCTTAGGTGAGTGAGAGGTGCCAAAAGGTCTGCCTTCTTACCTTGTTTTAGGGCTGAAGCCAGAGCTAGCTCTGTATTTCATCAGTGAAATTAGACTGTGCTTGGACGGCACATACCTGCTGTCCAGCACAACAGGGACAGAGAAATCTCATTCCCAGGACAGTCACACAGGCAGCTCTGCATATAAAGGGGTAGGTGACTGCAGATGCTCAAAAGCAGAGTGGCTGCAGAGAAGGGTGTTTGAGTAGGGTGACCTGAGAGGCCATTTTCTCACCACCGCAGCCCACCCGTGCTTTAACGGTGAGGTGACTCAGTTTGTAGTTCATCGGAGACCTGACTGTCAGGGTCTCAGATACACGTTTTTAACAAAATAGCACTCTAAAGCCACTGAGCTAGTGCAGAAAGACCCTTGACAACATGCCCATTTGTTACATGGACTGAACAAGATCAGAAGATAACTTGGGCAGAAAAGAAACAAAGCAGCAAAACAAATCCTCATCTCAAGTCCAGCTTCCTGTTTTCAGGGAGCAAGTTTCAGTTCCCATCCAGCTACAGCAGAATGAGCTTTTCTGTTCTGCACAGGGAAAGTCCCCTTGCTCCCTCTTCCTGGGTTATCACACCAGTGACTAAGGTAACAGCAAAGGATACTGAAGCTCCCTGATGTAGCGCTGTACGGCTTCCAGGCGCTCAGGGATTGGGGTGGACGGCTGGAACGCAGGCACACTTGGTATGGGAATCTGAAATGGGGAGCAGAACGTAAATCACTGTGTCCAAACATCTCCAGCTTCTTGCTGAACTCAGCAGCACACAGCTACAGGAAGCATGTTCCTCTGAAACGAGCCCCTCTCTGCTGCCCGAAGTGACCACACCGGGAACATTCCTCTGTTCCCACACTGGTAAGTGGGAAGGGATTCAGAATAAAGCACCACCACAGAGCTACAAGAGAATGATGATGCCTGCATTTAGGCAATGTTACATTGGAAGAATTAGATAAAATTAACTGACAAGGCAAGATGTGAGACAGGAAAGGCATCACCTGGGGAAGCTTGGCCTCATTTGAGTATGCAAACTAGAAGGCACAAAACAAAAATAAGAGAGGGAGAGGCAAAAATGGAGAGTGAGCTTCCCCAAAGCCACCGGAGCATGGAACAGTCCTGTAAGGAAAACAGTCCTGTAAGCAACAGCACAGAAGTCCCTCACTGCCTCCTGGCATCTCAGGTGAGTTGGCACTGAGTAGGACACAGGGCTGACAGCATTGTGACTCCCTCTCTGCAGTGTTCACTGTTTTGAATTATGTGGTCAGAAAATGACTTCTGAAAGTTCACTGTTTGAACTGCTGTCCCATTCTGAGGCCTTATGACTCCAGTCAGATTTTCCTCACCATTTGCTCTATAGGGGATAACAGCAGCCTTGTTAGCAGCTCAGAATATGTGTCTAAGGCAAGAGAAGGGTCCTGTCCACAGGACAGATACAGTGGAGAAGACACAAATTTGGTGTGACTTACAGGCTCGGAGAAACAGCCCAGCATCTTCTCTCTGAAGGATAGCTCATGCCTGGCACACACCCGTGATACCAGACTGCAGCTTGTCACAGCAGTTCGGTTTTTAGCATTTCAGTTCCTCCTCAGACTTCCCCCAGAGCTGGGCTATCCCCAGCTGAGAAAGAATGAGTCAGAACCAGATCTTCCCTTGGGCCTTCCACCCTGCTGTGTATAACTGTCTCTGCTGGCCATGGTTTTGCAGCCAGCAGCGCTGCTTTGCCATTCATTGCCCTTCATGTGTATTTCTGTGGCCACCCATTTCCATCCCTCCTTCTGCCCTGCGCTGGCACAAGTGACTGCCAACTCAGAGCAGGTCAGGCACCTGAACCAGCTGAAAGCCGAGCCAGCAAGCATGGGTAGTTTTCAGTCAGATCAGTTCCCTGTTCTTGTTTGCCACATGGTTGTGCTCTGCTTGTGCCCACACAGCGCAGCGGTCAGAGACTGCCTAAGCTTGAGAGATGGGCTGTCGCTGCTTCTGGAAACCATAACCTGCAAGCATTTCAGCCTAGCTTCATCAGCAAGTAAACACTGAGCTAAACTCAGTCTCTATCCATTTTCCATTTCCATACCCTGCTTGGAGCAAGCAGAGGCACCGGCTGCCTTGCTTGAAGGAGACGGCGCAGGAACGGCAGGAGCAGATGTGAAACTGGGTTTGTTCAACTGCAGCAGGAGCGGGGAAGGCTCCAGAGAGCAGCACAGGGATGGAGCCGTCTCTGGAACCGCACGAGCTGAGTCAGTTTGGATGCTGTGAGCTGACACACTGAATCATAGGAAATCATTTCCAGGCAGAAACAATGAAAGAGGTAACAACCAGGACAGGCTGACTATTTAACTTTGTTCCCTTTTTTCAGCATGGAGACTTGCATGCTTTTTGAGTGGAGACAGATGGATTAAGTGCACGTTGACAGCACAGACTAATGATTCTGGGTAGTTATTCCTCCCTTTACTAGTACAGACCCCCAAGATCCCCTTTTTCTTAAAGGACTGTGCAACACTGAGACAATGT